GTCCAATCTTTCTTTCCTTCTCCTTTCTCCCCTAGGTTTACGATCACCGCTCGGCGTTCTCCCTCTCCCTCCAATTTCTCCCGCCTCCTTCCTTTAGTTCGTTGAGTGGCACCTATCTATCCGTTATTCGCTCTGCTCTTTTAGTTTCTGGCTTCGATGAGTGGTGGAAACAACCCCAGACTTTCCCCCTCCCAATCCCTTGCCTTTCCTCCTCCTTCAACGAGATCCTCCCCTCTCCCAGATTTTTAGGGTTTCGGAGCTCTTGGCCTGACGATCGCTGTTGATTTGGGGATTTGGCGTGACGATAGCTGTTCTTGAGAAATTTGGGCGCTACTCAGGTAAAAAACCCTAAATGCCTAATATTTTTGAGATATTCAGCTCTTCCTCCGATTTGAGCAATATTTTTCCTCCGATTTTGAGCTCTGACATGTGGATTTGGTTGGACTGGTTAAGCTTAGATCTGTTTGAGCTCTCGAAGAAATCTCAGATTCCACTTTGTTAGGAAGTATACACTCACAATTTTCGTTAAAAATTTCATATTTTAACTCTGGTGTCTGTCCACATAAATAAGTTAGAAGTTATAAGATATATTAATTTTAGAAATAAGCAAATGAATTCAATATGCATATGCCCATACTTGATTTGTTTAATACATGAATACCAACAATTATTTGATTTATCTCAAATCATCTCCCAAATCGAATTTGAGGAATATTTACAAATAATAGCCGAACTATTTGACGAGCAGTGATATCTGGATCAACAAATATAAACTTGAAGGCACATGAATCATGAAATTCTATCTACATTTTAAATGTAATCTACATCTTAAATGTAGCACTACTAGCATGAGAATAGGTTCCTATAATCTTACCCCTGGACCCTTTAACTTGTTCTTAGTAAGATAATGATCCAGAGCACCATCCCCACGAAGGATTTTAGCCCCACGACCTGGCTTATCTCCTGAGCCAATAGCCTCCTCATCCACCACAAATGCATCTACATTGTTCATGCTGAACAGTTTCTTGTATTGCTTCCCAAGAGCATTCTTTGGTTCCGTGAGGACCTGAAATAGGAACAGGGAATCTTTAATCACAATAAAGACAAGAAGAACAGGGATAAATAAATATTTACATAGTAGAAAACCAAATTGGTTCTCAGATACTAAGCTAAAATTCTACGGGAAAAGGGAATTAGTCATTTTGACCCCCACTTCCCACCCCAAAAACAAAAAGAAAAAGGACCTTTACATTTTGAGCCCAAATTCAAGCTATGCCTGGCTAAATATAATACCAGAAATAACATATTTCAAATTGAACTACATTTTGTCTGCATTAGTTTCCAAATATATTTTTGAACCCAAGTCTAATAGCTTTGTCTTTTCATTTTGTAAGTAGGACCTTAGCAATATAATTAGACAACCATCTTCATTTACTGTTACTATCTGCTTTAATATGACGTTTGTATTTTAGATGGATGGTGATCTCGATGAAGAAACCGTAGTTAATATGTGTTCGGGTGCTGTACTATCTGTCTTGGTTATGGTTATGGTATTCATGAGGAGAATGCAAAGTAGACTTGGTTGCAGCAGCTTGTTGCTTGGGGTTTGGTTGTGTTGGCCTCTTGCAGCTCTTGCTTGTCCTGTTGTTGGTCAGCTATGATGATGGCATTCTTGATCAGTTTTTGGTTGTGTTGGCCTCTTGCAGCTCTTGTTTCTTGGCAATTTGTTGTGCTTTCCTTGTGTGCATCCTTTGGTTTTTTGACATCAGTCCTCGTTCACTTGCTGTGATGATGTTCTGATAAAAGCGTATGCACATTTTTCTGTTCTTTTCAATCTTTACATGTGCGTTCATTGTTAGATGTTTTTGTTCGTTTACTTGTTTGACAGGTTTACATGTGGGGTTCTATAATGATTTCCCCTCGATGAAATAAAGTTAAAGAGGTATGCATTTTATGTGTTTTATGATTCACCACTTGCTCATAAAGGCCTTTTCTATCCTAACAGAACAAAAGGACATGTGAATTAAACATAAAGTTTTATAGCTTTTCAGCCTTTCATTAAGCTATACGTTCCTTCATCAAATTACAATGTTTCTGTCTTAAAAATGACACTTACTATTCTTAAGTAAAACCATGATGGACTTGCTTGTTTCTAGTGCTGGCTTGACTGTTTACCCACTATCAGGCCTTGTAGAAAATCATCAGCATAACCACTTTGTGGTAAGTCTGCTGATGCTCATGAAGGGGGAATCTAGTGAAAGTTAACAAGCTGTTGAAACATGTGCTTTGAATGCTGTAACTTATGGGAGATCAAATACTTCGAGATCTGGCTTCTATATGAAGATGGATATATGGAGTCTCAACAAGAAAGCTCCAATCTTGGGGTGTTATCCACAGTTTGTTGTGCTTTCCTTGGTTGCAGCAGCTTGTTGCTTGGGGTTTGGTTGTGTTGGCCTCTTGCAGCTCTTGTTTCTTGGCATTGCGTTGTGCTTTCCTTGTGTTGCAGCAGCTTGTTGCTTGGGGTTTGGTTGTGTTGGCCTCTTGCAGCTCTTGTTTCTTGGCATTGCGTTGTGCTTTCCTTGTGTTGCAGCAGCTTGTTGCTTGGGGTTTGGTTGTGTTGGCCTCTTGCAGCTCTTGTTTCTTGGCATTGTGTTGTGCTTTCCTTGGTTGCAGCAGCTTGTTGCTTGGGGTTTGGTTGTGATAGTGATCTTGCAACTCTTGTTTCTTGGCATTGTGTTGTGCTTGGCCTTTGGTTTCATGTTGATGCTTGGCCTATGTTTTAATTCAGTGCATAGGTTCAACCTGCTCTCATGAAGATGGTTTCAACTCTTGTTTGGCTTTTGGTTGGTATGCATATTTCGTGTTATGATGATGGGCTATTTTTAAGATATGCAGCCAAAGTTTATAGCAACAATATATTGGCGAGGCAATATATTGCAGCCAACATTGTTTTATAAACTTTATGGCGAGGCAGATAATGAAATAATGGCCTTTTCTGAGCACAACTATTATGTTGGGTAGTAATCTTACCATGGTGACCACAATTAAGTTTTCTTAATTTTTTAGTTTGAACCAAACACTAGAAAATGATGTAAAGTACTTTCACTACATATTTTCTTCTTTTTTCAAGTTGATCCAAACACTAGAAAATGATGTAAAGTACTTTCACTACATATTTTTGGGCGAAACAAACACAAGAAACATTTTTCAGGAAAGTGAAGGAAACACAAGAAAGTGAAGGAAAATCATCTATGGAAAGTGATGTAAACGAACCAAACAGCCCCTAAGATGAAATCAATCACACAATCTGACTAGAAAACCTGTCAAACAAGTACACATAAGCAATCAAATAATCAATATACCACCTCAAAAAAGTACATAATATTAAGAGATTAAGTTGCTTTAATGTAATAAAAAGTAAGATGCTTATTAGTGGATCATATTTTTTCCGCAAACAAAAAGAGCGCAACAATTGACGTTATCTCTACTCTTAACATTTTTGTGACTATTAGTGGATCAAAATGTGTTATTTTCATTTGTATTTTTATTTAACAACAATGAAATCCTACAATTGAAAACCCAACACCAAAATCCGTAAAATGACCAAATTATAAGAGATCTAGCAAACTAATGAAAAGAGAAAGAATAGCATATTATTACTTACTAGGGGATCCATAAACCTGCTAGTGCAAATCATGTTTCTAGGGCTCCCAAATTCATAATCAATTTTAAGATGTTAAATTTGATGCTTTAAGATGTCAAACTCCAATAGGAATTTTCTTAGTAGTTCTCCTCCAAACTTTCATCTAGCCAACTAAAAAAGTGAATCGTGTTAATTTTGGACAAATCATCATCAACCACAAATACTAAAAAAAATTCTATCTAATCTCCATATTATTTTATTAGTTATACCATATTAAACTAATTATAGAACTAAGTACATCATATATAATAGTTATATCACATTAATCAAGGCATAAGGGTGCAAGAACTCACTAAAAAATAAATCTAAATTAACATCAATAAAAGATAATGAAATTGTGGAAAAACATATTATCCATGAGATCAACATCCATCCATACCCGATACCAAAAATTTGAGAAAAAAAAATAAATGATGTAAATTAAAAAGTGTAAACCATGGGTTCTTTTCATTTGAATTTTTTTAACAACAACAAAATCCATCAATTGACAAACTAACATCAAAACCCCTTAAAAATGACCAAAATTTTAACCTAAAAATAAAATTTAACAAATTACCTCAAATCCCTGAGAAGTTCGAGCGGTTGTTGGTTCGTATTTGCAGTCCAAGTTCCAACGCGGGAGGGAGGGGAAGGAGGAATAATGAAGGTCGGGTTTGTGGTCGAAGTTCCAATGCAGGAGGGAGTTGAAGGAGGAATAGGGAAGACGGGGGAAGAAGAATGAGAGAGAAGAGGGAGGTGACGAGAGCACGGAGGAGGCGGTTTGAGAAAAATAGGGAATCACGAAACCCAAGCCGAGAGAGGAATTTGTGTGTTTTCTCCCGTAATTTGGCCTGGAAGAGCTGAAAATTTTTAGGGGGCTGTTTGGTTGGTTTCCTAAGGGGGTGTTAGTCAATTGGGATATTTTGATGCAAATTGGGATAATTGTTAAAGCGGAATAATTTTTTACTAGTGGGATATTTTAGTGGGATAAATAGGAACAATTTTATGAAGCGGGATATTTTGATAAAATAACGTGGGATAAATTTTTATAATCATGAAATATATATTTATACATTTTGAAGATATAAATATTATTTATGTATTTTAAACTTACTATTATTGATTTATAATTGCTTACAAGAATATTCTTTACTATTAAATAACTTTTCGTTAGACTATAAGATATTGACAATTATTATTATTATGATGGTCTAATGGTGATAACCATAATAGGAAAGAAGTAAAGATAAAAAAATATAAAAAATAAAAAATAACAAAATAAATATGAGTTCTAGTTTTTTACCACCTAGTTCCAAGCTAAAACTTGGAATAATTTGAGAGACTAGAACTCTCATTTTTGTATAGAAAAATGAAAAAAGTGGGATAATTTTGTACCATTATCCAAATTCTAGTTTTATTAGAGTTCTACTTGACTAACACTGTAAAATTTTGTTCTAGTTTTAGTTCTATGTGACTAACACCTTAAAAATTTATCCCACATATTATCCCAGTTCTAATTTTAAGTTCTAGGTGACTAACCCCCCCTAAAAACCAAGAATAGGAAATGGGAGTATGGAAATCTCCCATTTCTTATTTTTAACCATTTCCATCCCTAAAACTTACCCCAACATTTAATAAAATATTATTTTATCATTCAACTCATCTAATAAAATATTATTTTATCATCCAACTCATCCAATAAAATATTACTTTTATCATCCAACAATATTATTTTATCATCCAACTCATCCAATAAAATATTACTTTTATCATCCAACATCTAATAAAATATTATTTTTATCATCACATCATCCAACTCATCTCATCTCATCTCATCTCATATTTAAAAATCAATCACATCATTCAATAATATGGTGACAACTCATCTCATCTCCTTAAACTTTCATCTCCACTCATTTCCTCCAAAAAAACAAGAAAATTGATTTCCTTAAGTGTGAGTCACATTATCCAATAATATAATGACAACTCATCTCATCTCATCTATTTTCTTATTTTTAAGAATGAACCAAACACAAGAAAAGAACCTATTATAGGAAATAGGTTTCTTATAATACATTTTCTTATTTTTTTAGTCAACCAAACAACCTCAAAACAAAATTTCTTAAAAAATCACCCACATCATCCAATAAAATGACGACAACTCGTCTCATCTCATCTCCTATTCTTTAATTTCCTTCTTTTTTTTCCAACCAAACAACATCAAAATAAAATTTCTAAGAAATATGTTTCCTATTCTTTGATTTCCCTCTTTTTTTAGACAAACAAACAGCCCCTAGCCAGAAAATCTTACATGGCACCCTTTTTCCCATCGCCACTAGTACAAATAGGGGCAGCCCCATCATCGCCACTAGTACAAATAGGGGCAGCCCCAACGGTCCCAACCGTTGGGGCAGATAGTGTCCCCAACGGTTGAAACCGTTGGGGCAAAAAAAAACCCGTTGGGGCAAATTGCGTTGGGGCAAAGTCAGCCCCAACGGTTGTTTTATCAACACCAACGGTTATAACCGTTTGTGCTGATTGTTTTTTAATTACAATTTTAAAAATATAAAAAACTAAGCACCAACGGTTACAACCGTTGGTGCAAATAACAACACCAACGGTTCAAACCGTTGGTGCAAATAGAAGCACCAACGGTTTGAACCGTTGGTGCTTCTATTTGCACCAACGGTTTCAACTGTTGGTACGAAAATATGCACAGCTCTAAAAGATCCCTAGACATAAAAATATACAGGTATTTCCCTCTGATATTCACCAACAATAAGGAGATTATACTATAACTTTTTTGAGCTAAGGAAATTGTTAAAATATGTGTCCTCAGATGCGAAAATTGTTGCATCAAGGCAGTGGACCACATCTGAAAGTTAAACATCAACAAATTTCTATTAGGTCTCAAAATAATATACACAAATTTTATGTCCGAAGAGCTTTCACAGCCAAACTACACAAATTTGTACCATACTTTCATAGTGTTTACATCACTTGCAATTTCATAGTGTTTATATCACTTGCAAAATTGTCGACAACTGAAATAGGCTAACTTGGTTATGCAGTCTGTGTTGGGAACAATTCCTGGATATCTTCGATTTTTTTGGCTTGGCATCACCTCAGTATTACGATGGCAGTGCCAGTGTAGAGAGCAGGATACTTCTCGCTGACTTTTGTCTGGAGGAGGAACCACGATGACCAGCTGAATATCGCTGCGAAAAGAGCAACAGTCCCCAATATCCATTTGCCTCTAATGGAATGACCGGAATCTTCGTTAGGTGCCGATGGCTTGTGCGATGCATTGGTCAAGGCAAGGCCTTTGTAAAAACTTAGTAGCATTGCACCAGCAAGGCAGACCAATGTACCAGCCACCTTCGCAATCCCCGACTTACTCTTTAAATTTATTCTTTCCAACCTGTAGCATGTTTTGAGGCCAATGAAAATGGGACAGAGATACTTGAATTATAACAAAGCACTGATTACAAGTCTTACAGGAAAGAAGTAGAAATTAACACGAATAAAAGAAGCAAATTGTCCCTCTCGCTTGTTATAATTTGACAGCTATATTACCCAATTTACTAAATGGGTGAGTTTTATGCCCATTTATATAGATTATGTTATCAGAACATAGAAAGTTGCATCTACCCGTCATGACCTGACAATTTAGTATAATCTTGTCCTGACGGATCCCTTTTCTGGGTTATGCTGATGTTTTCAAAGAGGAAAAAAGATCATGCATCTGGAAAGTCGATATTTTCTTATCCTGTCATGACCATGTTGATTTTTTTAATAAATCAATCTTTTTAGAAAATTATGCATGCCACCTCTGTTTGTTCCAGCATCATAATATTTAACAAAAAATAAAGTAGTATGGCATATATAATTGCTTCCTATTATATGAATTTGTTCAACAAGAATCTGCGGCAGAACTTCTATTTTACGATAACATGAGTAACCACCAATTTCTTTCATCAATCCTCTAACAAATAAAATCTCTGCCATCAGATCAACCCTTTAACAAATAAAGTAGTATGGCATGTATAACTGCTTCCTATTATATGAATTTGTTCAACAAGCTATAGCAATGGATGAACACGTTATAGAACGTGGCATCTTGAAACCAATCATTTGCATTAGCTTACATGATTCTGACTTAGGGGTTGTTGCTCCCAATTACTTTCCTTCTTGTCTTGTTCAAACTAGCACCCAATACTTTCTGGTTAATGACCAAATAGCACAAAATGAGCTAATGTTTTGACATATAAAATCTAATCAATCAACGGAACTTCCATGGAGAAAATCATTAGTGACTGAAATCAAAAAGAAAAAGAATAGGGTAAATTTCACAAAAAAGAATGGGGGGTCTTGTGAAATTTAGCCCAAAAAAATAATCATGTATACTGCATGAAAATAACGATATTATAATTCAGATTACCTGAGCTAAACCAGAGAGACCAACACTACGCTCATTTAAGAGTTGAATCATTTAAGGATATTATAATCATGTAAGAGTTGAAGCATTTAAGGCTATGAGATGATCATAATGATTGGACTTTCAATCTTATGTTGCGATAGTGGTTACATATTAGCTACTTTTTCTGAGCCTTTCATGAACCCAAACCTTGTTCAAAACCAAGCAAGAAATTCAAAACATAAAGCAAAGTGTAGTTTAGCATATGTTAAGTGTGTGCCTAATAAATAGTATAGTGATAAGCTGGATGTGTGAAATATTAATTGGCCATAAACGCTTCATCTCAAATAGTCTCTTAACATGCATCATGTGCAACATATTTGCATACTAGTTAGAATTAAGCAGAGAAAGGTGAATAAGCGATTATTTACACTCACCTTTCGCCTAAGAGAGTAAGACCTTCCCCAAATTGAGAACTGCCCATTTGATGATTAACCAGGACCTGGAATATGATTAAAAACACAAATAGGAAAGTTCCCTTCAGAGGCAGATATAAATCATAAGCAGTTTTATTCCAATGATCACCGCTATTAAGAAAATATTAATTATTAGTCTGCATTGAAATTAAGATTCATTTGCAATTCATAAGCTTAGGTCTTTGGGTTTGATGATTATTGAGCACACAAATACTAGTGTTGCATATGCCAACGTATGAAGTATCAATAAAATAGTATAGCATGCCTCCCAAAAGTTAACACTTAAAACTTAGCACTCAAAAAGACATTTATATCAGAAGAGGAATCAAATAAAATGTAAAATTTCTCTATATTATATTAGTTCAAATTTGTGCAAATATTTTACTCATTTACAACCTAAATCCAACTCACAAGCTACAACCTTGTCAGTGCACAACCCTTGTCACACGTGATCCGTAACCCTTGTCAACTATATTAGTTGAATCTAGAATAATAATTTTTCTATTAGGCTATGTTTGGTTTGAGAGAAAGGGAGAGAAAAGAAAAAGAAAGAGAAAGTAAAAAGAAAGGAAAAGAAAAAGAAAAGAAAATGATATTCTTTTTATTGTTTGGTTAGAAAGAATATTGTAAGGAAAGTTAGAAGAAAATTCAAAAGAAAGACATTTTCTCTTGTTTGGTTATCTTTCTGATTAAAAGAGGAAGAAAATTATCACAACATAATTTTAATTCGTACTTTTTGGAATTAGATTTAAATTTTAAATAATTTACAAAAAATAATTAAATTAAATTGTGATTCTATCATATTTATAAAAAAATTACAAGCTACCGAACATGTTTGCACAATCTTAACTCAAGAAAATTTAGTCAAATTTACGATGACTCTAATTTGCGTATAATCTTGTATGGTCTTGGACTTGCAAGTTATTCATAACCTCAGGTGAAGAAAGATGATTCCATATAACCTCTAGACAATAATGGAGTTCAAGCATAATTATTCAAAATTAGTATCATTCATATCTTAGGAAGAAATAGGTTAATAAACATGTATTTAAAAAAATTTGGCAATTTCCTAACATAAAAACTTGAGTGGCCATCAAAATAGGTTAATAAACATGTATTTAAAAAAATTTGGCAATTTCCTAACATAAAAACTTGAGTGGCCATCAACATCAAGTTTGTAAATATTAACAAAAAAAATTTGGCAATTTCCTAACATAAAAACTTGAGTGGCCATCAACATCAAGTTTGTAAATATTAACAAACAGAAGCACAACCACAATTCCACATTTCTCACACATAATATTTGCAGAAAGAAAGGTCAATAAAAGATCCAAAACAAATCTGAAGTAAATTTATGATATTCCTAATATAAAATATAATTATTTATTTCCAGTCACAAAGTCTATTAATTACAATTAATTTCATATAGAAAATCTTAACCAACAAAGTCTATTACAATCAATTTCATATATATGATCTTAACCAACAAAGTCTATTACAATTAGTTTCATATATAGAGAATCTTAACCAAAGACAGAGAGAAATATGCTGAAGTCCTTGTTTTTGACTTTAATGAGCCCATCAAAACATCAATCTCATATAACTTTAGTAGAATGGAAAGCAATCGCAAATCGGCCAGCTGCAATGGAAAAATAATGTAGAATGGTCATGCCAACTAAGACAACCAACATAAACCTATAATGTGGAAAATCTTTACACTGGTTATGCATATCTATGTATAAGGGGAACCAAAGGATCAAACTGAGGGTGATAAACGAATTAGGAGGATTTTATTAGATTGTATGGAACAAGTATCTTCTAAGGGAAGACTGCACCCATACACATATATGAATTAGAAACAAAGAAAATGACGAGACCACTCGGCTGTACATCGCTCCAAGTCACTGTTTGCTTGGCACAGTTTGCCCTAAATTTTAATACAGAAGTATGTATAGCCAGATAAATATGTTAAGCATTTTTAACGCATAAAATAATTTCTCGTTAGATACAATGGTTATCATGTTTATCTATAACCCCTAGATTCAAGCTAAGAAAAATGTTGCCGCAAACAATAGAGAGAAAACAGTAGCTTATAAGACTTGCATTAATGTGATGTGAAACTAGATTTTTCGAGAATGCAGTTAAAACCAAATATAATGTGCTTTAAATTTTCTACTTAAGATTTGATGGGATGGATCTATGCAAGCAAGGTCTTCATTATGTAGTGGGAACTGAAAAGCCCCTCGAAGCATTTAATTTGATTGACCATGTGCCTTTCTTTAACTAATGACATCTAGGATGATTTTTTCATTTTTGCGCCTTCAAGTCTTCATATGATGAGATGAGACACATTCAGGAGCTTCGTAGTTATGACAGTATAGATATTTTCTGACTGTGGACAAATTAAAACATACTTCTCTACAGGTTCCTCAAGAATGACTTTGTCGCCAAAAAAGATGACCTGCAGAAAGTGAACAAATTGTCAAATATAACTGACGAGAAAGCTAAAACATTGAAATAATGCAATAAATACCTATAATTAAATTATAGCTGATTACTAACAGGGAAAATGAATACATGCACCACATGAAAATATGCCATTGCAAAGCAGAAAAAGGTGATTTGGTTATTTTAGGTTGGGTATGAACCTAAATTCATGCAAACTTAATAACAGGACACTCAAGTTCCAAATCCACTTCATTCATCACGATTGAATGCATGTATAGTTATGGCTTCCAACTGTGGATGGACCATCATCCTGATAATATTTACTAACCTATAACTGTCCAACATGTTAAACTGAATGAAAGTCTTACCTGATAACAGTCCTGTAATATAGTTCTCATTAATTCCACAGCAATACGTCGCGCAACACATTAATCAAAAACACGAAGTAACATATGCTGCTGGCTTAATCTCAGTAAAAGGTAGCATGCTGCACATAACACTTCATACTGTGTTTCTTGAAGACTGACACTGAGCAAATTCCACGAGCTGCTTTGAAATCAGAGCATATATAGTAGGTTGACGAATAGTTATAGACAGAAGAAGCCCTTAAATTTCTAATTATTGGTTCGAGTCAAGAGCGCAATGCAAAATGTTTGGGACATAGAAAGGGAAGGTGAACCTTCTAGACAATTTTCTTCCTCTCATCGCCTGATAACATAAATCTTACACTTTTGCCGCATTTAGTTTACTGTGTTGGCAGCAACACACGTCAATTATACAATAAATCCCTCAAATACAGGCATTTATTAGTGCGCTTCCTTCTTTTCTTTTTGGCAAACCAAACAACTGATTGTGGGGAAAACAACTAAATTTTCAAATGTTAATTTTCTGTGGGTCTTATTTTTGTTGTTTTTATACCAACCAAACAGCCCCTAACACGAATTTTTGGGATTTATATGTAACAGTCGCGAGTCTAATGATACGACCAATAACATTATTTTTATTTTTATTTCAAATGGACTCAAGCTCGTTCAGTACTTCATCAAGTCTTCCTCCCACCAACCAAAGTCCCACCTACCAAATTGACCTCATTAACTCTTCGTTTAATTATGCGTCAATGCATGTGGGAAAATTCAAAATCACCTACCAAATTGACCTCATTAACTCTTCGTTTAATTATGCGTCAATGCATGTGGGAAAATTCAAAATAACAATCCTACACCTACGTGCCCATTATTTTTATTTTTATTTTTATTTCAAATGGACTCAAGCTCTTTCAGTACATAAGGTCCTCCTCTGACCAGCAAAAGTCCCACCAACCAAATTAATGACACCAAATTTACCTCATTAACTCTTCGTTTAATTACATGTCAATTCATATGAGAAAATTCAAAATTGCAATCCTATACCTACGTGCCCATTATTTTTGTTTTTATTTTTATTTTTATTTTTATTTTCTTTTTTCCTTTCAAATGGACTCAAGCTCGTTCAGTTCTTCATCAAGTCCTCCTCCCACTAGCAAAAGTCCCACCAACCAAATTAATGACACCAAATTGACCTCATTAACTCTTCGTTTAATTACACGTCAATGCAGGTGGGAAAATTAAAAATTGCAATCCTATACCTACGTGCCCATTATCTTATTTCCTCTAAGTGTTTTTTGCTTATAAAACCAAGAGTTATACCCCTATTTATTTTAAAACCCATGTAGTTCTATATGTTCTTTACACACTGTTGTGCACAGCGGAACTCAAAAGCCAAATAGTACTGAGCAAGAGCAAGATATATCACAACCAATAAGTAAAACACAATCACCATAGCAAGACAACAAATTTTATGTGGTTCGGCAAGTTGCCTACGTCCATGGGGCAATGAGGGAGGAGTTTTTACTATTAGAGATAAATAGAATACAAATAGGGTTTACAATCTCACCAAAACCATCAAACAAAACTCTCAAAATCTCTCACAAATTCTCCCTCAAAGGATGCACAATTCTCTCTTAAAAGCTGCTCAAAGTCGTCCTTCAATTAACCCTAGAAACAACAAAGTTTCTATTTATATGAACGGCAAACCCAAACCAATCAGGAAACTGAACCTGGGCCAAAATTGAGATCCGGTCAACCGGAATTTAGCCTCGGTCAACCGTCCAGAACGCTAAAATCTCACAAAATCAATTACAGGGTTTCGGTCGACCGAACTTAGACTACCGATCGACCGGACAGGGTTCTCGGTCGACTGACATAACTTCTCGGTTGACCTATCAGAAAATCAGAAAATCACCCTGTAGTGTGCACGTTTTCGGTCGACCAGACTGCACCAAAAATGTCCTGCTTCGTTTTTCCTAAACTTTTTCGCCGTTTTCGTCGTTTCTACAAATCTTCACCTCGGCGAAGTTTCCCAAAAACTAAGCCGACACTAAAAACAACCAAAATGTCCCACTTGTTGCGTCTAGTACGAAGTGGAATAAATCCACGATAACGGACTTAATCTACAACAAATCGGGAACCCTACCGAGAGCTCAAACAATCTCCCCCACCCCCCCTCGAAATCAACAAATCCAATCGGCTGCATCAAAAAGACTGTCTACGTATCCTCTTTCCCAAGGAATCAAGTCGAACGTAGTTCACCCAAATAGCCTCCAAATGCCCTCAACATTGAAGAATTTTTAATTGCTTCAAACAATGACTAAATTTCACACCTGAAATAATTTTGGTCAACATATCCGTAGGGTTATCCTTCGTGTGGATCTTCTCCAATATGACGTCTCCATCATCTAAAACATCACGAACAAAGTAGAATCTGACATCAATATGCTTCGGGTATACATGCTATCACAATATACCCAAATAGTTTTCTGTGCAATCCCCAAGTCTTCCAATAATCCATGTAACCACAAAGCCTCCTTAACAGCTTCAGTTTGCTCCATCTGAGGCAGGAGAGAAGGTGAGGGGGTAGGAGAGGATTAGGATTTGATCGGCGTCGAGAGTTTGGTCGGCGTCGAACTAGGGTTTAGGCAAAGTTAAACTAGGGTTTTGGAGACAGAGAGAGGAGAGAATGAGGGGGGGGGCAGAGAGAGAGGGGAGATCGATCGGGGTTTTGGAGAGAGAGAGGTGAGAGATCAGGGGAAAGTCGGAGGCGTCGATTCCGTCTCTCTCCCTCGTTTTCACCTAGGCAACGGAGAGAAATGGGAAAAGAAAAAATAAATGCGGGTTTTTCTGCGGTGAAAATTATTTTCATTTTTTTTGTTTTCTTTCAAACCAAATAGTAGAAACCCACTTTCTCTTCTATTTTATTTTCTTTTCTCTCCCTTTCTCTCAAACCAAACAGAGCCATAGGGTTTCTAAGTCTCTTAATGCTTCTATTTATTGGGATTTTGTAATTAAAATGGCAAATATGAGAGGAAATGGATGTTTCTTTAATTTGATTACCATTTGAATTGCCTACAAAAAAACATAATTAAAAGAAAACTTAATTGTACTGTTATCATACAATCAATAGAAACCAACGCTTTGTCCTCCATTTGCTTTCCCAGTGTTCGGAGTTAGGGAATTGAATCTTACCTTCGTCCACGGCGGCGAGGTCCAATTTGGAGAGGAAGTCCACGGCGACGGAGAGGTCCGATTTGAGCAGAAGAGGCGGATTTTTGAGGGGGACTCGGCGGCAAACTGCAGGGTCGATGATGG